AAATATGGATGAAAATATCAGAAGAAGTAGCTATGGTAATTGAAGATGATCACCCTCAAGGAAGTGGATGTAGGAGGGAGACAGAAAGGGCCTGCTATTATGCTCTGTGGCATCAATGGACATTTGACATTTGACTCATGTGTTATTTTCGGTGAGAATAAAAATATTTTAAGAAATCACATTTGGTTATTTTTTCCCCAGACTAGTTTTTTTACACGGATAAATGTACTATTGGCATTGTGTAATCCTTGTTAGAACGGTCACAGATATGGCTCAGCTGTGAAGACCCGTTATTGCTCTCCCAGAGGACCTGAGTTCTAGTCTCAGCACCAACATCAGGCAGCTCCCAACCAGCTGGAACCCCACTTCTGGGATCTGACACCCTCTTCTGGACTCCATAGATAAACACAAACACAGTAAATAAAAAAATAAATAAAATCTTGTTAAAAAATCGAGTTAATTAATCATTCATAAGTGCATTACCTCCTAGCTATCATTTTTGTATGAAAACAAAGTCTATTTTATTGATGATTTCCAACAGTATAGTGCATTGTTATTAATTAAAGTCACTAAATTACACAGTAATCAGTCAACCTTTCTTTCTCTCTTCTTTCTTTCTTTCTTTTTTAGGTACTGATGATTCAACCTAGGCCCTTTCATATGCCGGGCAAGTGAGATACCATTGAGTTAAATCCACAGTGCCATACAGTAAATTATAGTGTGTGTGTGTGTGTGTGTGTGTGTGTGTGTGTGTGTGTGTGTAAGAATACATATTTAAAGAGATGGACATCTTCTTCTATAGCTTTTTATGAATGAGATAGTCACAATGAAATTCGCAGGTGTCTACTTTATATATGTTGTTAGCGTTTGAACTGGAAATGTCCCCTGCAGGGGGGCACCCTCATGTTTTGGGTGCTCGGTTCCCAGCTTGTGGCACTGTTTTAGAGGCTAGGGAGCCTTTAGGTGGGTCCTGGTTAGTGATTGGATCACAGAGGGGCAGGTCTTTACAGGTCATACTAGCTCACGGCTCTAGGCTACTCCTCTGTTTTCTGGCCTGTGCCATGTGGAGACTCCCACCCCCCCACTACCCACTCCCACAAGTCACTGATGGAGCCACTTCTGTGAATGCGCTGTCCCTGTCGTGATGAACTGAAACCCCTCCGAAACTGTGGGCTCCCTTAAGTTGTCTTGGTGCCTGCAATGTGAAAAGCAGCTAATACAGAAAAATCGGTACTAGAGTGGAGCTGCACACCTTTAGGTCCAGCACTTGGGAGACAGGGGCAGGTGGATCCCTGTTAGCTCACCGAGAGCCTGGTCTAACACAGTTTCAAGCCAGACTACGAAATAAGATCCTGTCTCAAGGGAAAACAACATGGGCTGGAGAGATAGCACAGGTCCTCTACACTTTGGGAGGATTTGGTTCCCAGCACCTACCTGGTAGCCCACAATCATGTATAACTCCAATCCCAGAGGATCCAATGTCCTCTTCTGACCTCTGTGGGCAACAGGCATGCACATGATGCATGCATACACACATGCAGGCAAAACACTCATATGCATAAAATAAATACGTCTAAAACAGTTTTTAAAAAAGTAAAACAACAACAACAAGCACTCCTACCCCACCCCCAAAAAAATATCAGCACTGAGAGTTGGAATCATTGCTGAGGTGAAGCAGGCCCTGTAGTTCCCAGGCTTTGGGGACTGGTTCGTAAAATCAACGTGTGGGAACTTGGACCTGCAGGCTGTAGATGCCCTGGAATCTGTGTGCAGAGCATGATGGGCCATTCCGGTGAGAGTTGGAAACACTGGAATGTGACAGACATGCATACAGTAGACGGGTCTCAGGAGGAAATGAGAATCTGTCAGGAATCAGACTGCGGTCATTTGTGCTACGTTTTGACAAAACAAAAATTAATATTTTAAAAATGGCTCGCGTCCTTCCCATGTCCTGAAAATTGAAGTGAGACCAAATTAAAAAGAAATGGACCGATTAATGTGGAAGAAGAAATTCCGAACAGCAGTCAGGCTATGGCATGGTTGCGGCTGGCTGCTTCTTGCTAGATTTACAATGAGAGAGGGTGAAGAGATGAGCAGGGGGATTTGGAAAACGCGCAGCTTGATGAAAAAAGAAGCGTGAATACAGTTAAAGTTGTAGGCTAGCAAGAACTACCGACAAAGCAGCAGCGGTTAGAGAGACGGGAGACATTTAGGAGAAACCATGCACTTCGCACTGGGACAATAGGAAAGATGCCTTGAGGGCAAGACCCCAACTATTGAGAGAGCCAGGATGCAAAACTACAAAACGCATTCAAAAGACTTCCCGTTTAAAAAGGGCCAGAGCGCTTTGCTGGAAATGGGTACAAAGGGAAATGTTCTTCCAGGTTTAGCCACACCGGCGCTGGGAGGCCAGGGCAGCAACAGTCCATCTGGAGCTGGTAGAAAAGCTTGGTGGTATCTGTACGGCTCTGGTTTTGTGGGCATGCATTCAGCAAAAGCGACGGGTCGGCAAGGCTTGCACCAAGGTTCCGGAGAAGCCGGGCAATGCGCAATGTGTAACAAGGTTGTGTTCCCTGCAGGTAGCCCCTGACGGCTGTGCAGAAAGCTGTGGAAGCGAAGTCTAAGCTGTAATGGAGACATCAGGATGTTGCTGGCGATGCCAAGAATACAAGATGTCTGCCAAGGAAAAGTGCGGGTACCCAGCGGAGATGGACGAGGGTCACACAGGCTGCAAACGTCAAAGCTGTATGAATGCGGAACTCGAACCTGTCAGAGTCCAGACGATTCCACCACATGCCCGATAACGTTTGTTCTGCGGGCTGTGGGCCTCACTTTGGGCTCATTTTTCCTTTTTGTGTCCCCACTCACCCCTTTGGAGAGAGACTCTTTCACTCTGTGCCACTGAACATTGAAAATACATAAACTTGTATTTTTACCCTACTGGGGCCCACAGCTAAGAGTTTGCCCCTGAGTACCCAAAAAGACTCTGGATCTTTGATTGGTGGTGGGATCGCGGAGACTGTCCACGGGGTTGGGACAGGTTAAAGGTAGACTAAATTCACTTTGTGTTCTGAGACGGCCGTGAGTCTCGAGGGCCCAGAACCAGACTGTTATGGCTCGAAAGTCAGTGTCCCTCACAGGCTCATGAATTAGATGCCCAGTCCCCAGCTTGTGCCATTACTTTGAAGGCCGTGGAGCCTTTAGGAGGTAAGGCATGGCTGGGCGAAGCAGGTCCCTGGGGCAGACCTTTGAAGCTTGCACCCACTTCTGGTTCTGGCCCGCTATTTCTGCACCCAAGGTCCGTAATGACATTAGGGTTCACGCTTGGCACTGTACATTCTGTGAATGTGACGGTGATGTGAACAAGCCAGCATTGCATGCTTCCACCACCATGAACTCTGGCTTCCACCACCATGAACTCCGGCTTCCACCACCATGAACTCCACCATGCCTTCCCCACCACGGTGTGCTAAAGTTTCTGAAATTATGAGTCGAAATTAGACCCTCCCCTCACCTAAGTTGCTTTGGGCAGGTATTTTTGTCGCAGTTATGTAGAATGGAACTAACATGTATAGCTGGTATTAACTGCCTTAATCATTCAGTCATCGCTTACTATTATGTGAGCAAAATGATAATACATTAGGAGTAAGCATCAAGTCCGCTTTGCACTAATGCTCTACATTTTACTTACAGGTGTGAAATAGTTCGGTGGGAATCTTTGAACCGCAGAACGAAATACGAAGCTCCTATATGTAAAAATTAATAATAATAATCAATTAAAAATGGTTTTCTAAATCTATTTTTAAGTGAAGATATCTTTGTTAATTTATTGCTCATATCTCATTAAATACTTTAAAACATTAATCTGGATATGAGGTTCACGGTGAGGTTTGAAAGCCACCAGGATCAGTACATGGCCACATATGCAAATATGAGGTCTCGTGTGAGATCCAAAGTAGCTCGATGGGCTAATAGTTACCTGGAAGCAGCCTTGGGAACAGGTGCAGGGAGTATCTCGTACTGTCCTGGGCAAAGCTGGAGTGACTACAGAGAGGGGACAGACACGACGATGACAGGTTAATACAGCTCATAAGCTCACCACATTACCTTCATTCATAACCTTTGATTGTACAGGCACACAACATTTCCCCATGTTTTCTCTACGACTGGAAAAGGTATACTTTCAAAAACGGAGCTTCAAGACAGTCAGCATGTATTCACTTTTCACATATACGAATGGTGTTTGTTTGTTTGTTTGAGACAGGATTTCACTGTGCAACTTTGGCTGTCCTGGGACTCAATATATAGACCAGGCTGGCCTTGAACTCACAGCAATCCACTTGCCTCTGCCACCCCCACCCCCACCAGAGCTGAGTAGGATGGCCCTAACATCTGGTCAAGAAGTGTCTCTAGGATGTAGGCTGTCTTCAAAGATGTAAGTGACCACATACAAGAGCCGTTCCCCCCGCCACGCTTTCTTGCAATACTTGCATATGCAATTTGTCTGAACTTGACCAATATATTATGATCTTTCTGAGGTAACAGTTGTAAGCACTTTTGCCATCTTTTGTGAGCTAGACACAGACTCAAAACAATGCACATGCCAGACTGTCATGTCAAGGACAAGATCAATGGCCTTCACTGAAGAACAGTCAAGCTGTGTGAGAAATCCTGGGGTCCCGCTTGCCTTCCTGTCTATAGAGCTTTGCTCTCTGCATCCTTAAGAACCAGCTCGAGAGCTCTATGCTTGTATTAATCAGACAGGAGAACACGCCCCAGGAAAGCCTCGTTTGGATGGTATTCTTGCTTCCTCCTGGTTTCTATCCTGGATTAAGCAAAAAACCCAAGGCTGAGATAGCAGCACTAGGAGCAGATGCAATGAGAAAGCTTACAGAGTAGGGGTTGTAGCTCAGGAGGCAGGGTGCTTGCTGAGCGTGCACAAAGCCTTGGGTTTGATCCCCAGCACAGCGCAAATTCGATGAGGTTACACAGGCCTGGAATTCCACCACTCAGGAGGTGGAGACAGCTTAAGGGCCAGTCTCATCTACATAGGAAATTTTGGGCCAATGTGGGCTATACAAGACTGTCTTAAAAAAAGAAATAATGAAATAAAAACTGCTGACACTCAGCTCATAACACTGATGATGATGTAATTAGAACCACACAGTAGGTGATCTCCTCAGAGCAGCATCATTCACTGAACACATATTAGGCTTCCTGTATGTCTTTCTATGGCTTCAAAACACAGTTCTCTAGAGCTGAATGATACTCTGTTGTCTGGATGTACCACAGCACATCTTTGTTAACTGCTGAAGAGCTTCCTCGCTGCTTCTAAGACTTGACAATCATGAGCAAAGCTTCTATAACCATCATATGAGTTTGGGGTGTGTGTGTGTGTGTGTGTGTGTGTGTGTGTGTGTGTGTGTGTGTGATTTCAAATCCTATCGGTAATAAGGCATGAAATGGCTGAATCACATGGTAAAGGGATGTAAAACGTTTGAAAAATTGTCTCTAACGTGACTCCACAACTCTGTGTTCCCATTTACTATGGACCAGAGTCCCTGCTGTTCGTACTTGGTGGTGTCTGTGTTCCGGCCTTGGTGGGCAGTGGGATCCCACTCTGGGGTTGATATTTTGATGGTCATTTTCCCGATGACATACAAACTTGTTTGCCATCTGCATATTTTCTTTAATGTCTGCTAGGGTATTTGGCCCATTTTTTAGTGTGTGTGTATGTGTGTGTGTGTGTGTGTGTGTGTGTGTGTGTGTGATTCACGACAAGCTGTGTGCACCATGCGAGTGTGGAGGTCAGAGAACAACTTCCGGGAGTCATGGTGGCAAGTGTCTTAACCACTGAGCCGTCTCCCCAATCTTGAGTCACTTTCTTACCATTGCACTTTAGGAGGGATTTATATGTTATGTTTATTTTATTTTTTTAGACTTTTTTATGTGTGTGAGTATTTTACACACATGTATGTCTGTGGACCATATACACACCTGGTGCCCATGGAGGTCAGAGGTCATTCCCTAGAACTGGAGCTACAGGGAGTTGTGAGCCACGATGTGGGTGCTGGGAATTGAACCTGGGTCCTCTGGAAGAGCAGCCGGTGCTCCTGACCTCTGAGCTGTCTCCCTGGCCCCGACTGATAGTGAGTTTTTTTGTTGTTGCTTTGTTTTGTTTTTATCATGAATGGGGTTGAGTTTTGAAAATGCCTTTTCTCTTTCTAGTGTTCCGTGTTCTTCTCCCCTCTAAGTTCGAGCGTGTTCTGCGCCTCGGTTTTCCTCTCCCCTCTTAGCACGGCCCCTTTAGTGTTTTCTTTAACTATGACTGGTGGTTGCCCTAGAATCTGCAAAGCACATCCCGTACTGAATCCCAGCGTCCTCTCAAAAGACACTATGCCATCTTGTAGACAAAGAAGTGCCCTGTTACACAGGAGGCTGGGGAATTAAAGCCAGGCTCCGGGCTGGAGTAAAATGTTAAGTTTAAAAAGCTGGGTGTGGCGGCGCACACCTTTAATCCCAGCACTCAGGAGGCAGAGACAGGCGGATCTCTGTGAGTTCGAGGCCAGCCTGGTCTCCATGGTAAGTTCTAGGACAGACAGGGCTACATAGAGAGAGCCTGTCTATGTAAAAAAAATTCTCCCCTCCTGAATCTGTGCCATTATCATTCACTGCACTTATAGATAAGCACACACATACATACAGTATTTATGTGTATTATAAATATGCATCACCAGATACAAAGGCAGGTGGATCTCTGAGTTTGAAGCCAGTGAGTTCCAGAACAGCCAGGGCTACACAGAGAGACCCTGTCTCAAACTATCAAAACAACAACAACAACAAAAAAAACCCCAAAAAACAAAAAGAATAAAAAGTAAATTAGAATAGGACCCAGGTGTGATAGTACACACTTGTAACCCCAGCACTCAGAAGGCAAATGAATGAGGAGCATGAATTCAAGGTCAGCCTGGACTACACATCAAGACTCCTCCCCAATAAACAAAAACTAGTCAATAGACAAAAATGAAACAATGAAAACTTTGACCTGGATGTAGTCCTTCAATGGCTCTTCGTTTCAGCAATGTAGAGTTAAGTTTCTGACATATATCATTATGGGGGAGGGTTTCTTTTTCTTTTTTTTTTTTCTTTTCTTTTTTTTCTTTCTTTTTTTTTCTTTTTTTTT